TACTGTAAAAATATCAGCCAAATCGGAGATGGTCATTGAGCAACGTTTGGTGTGGCTTACGTGCAATGCCTCCTAGATAACTCATTGTAAAAAAGAAGTGACTCTTTTTTCAATTCTTATCATCATATAAAACAATATCTCATGAGCAAAAGAAATGTGTTATTGCAAAGAAATAAAATCTATATATTAATTTGAGGATGTGCGTGTGACAGATGAGTTTAACACCAATTGTTTCGTACTTTCGCTAACAGTCACGTCCTCACTCATCAAAGAAATTTTACTTATACCATATGGACACGTAGTATTTTGACTATTATCAAACCCAGGAGCACAACTATTTAAAAATTGGTGTTGATTTTTCAACAGTCAACGCAAAACAAATATTACAGTTTGCTGCTGACAATATACTCGAAAGAAATCTTTCAGAAACATCAAATTTCAATTACAGTACAATTTTACACAACATACAATATGAAGAAAGAGTGGATGTTTTTTTTTAATTCTTGACTCTGATATTTGTTGTTGTTCTTCTAAATGGAGGGGGTTGAATTTGATTTATTCGATTTTGTCTTTGCCAAAAAAAGATTCGATCTTTTACTTGTCGACGAAATCGACGTGATGAAATTAAAAACATATAACAAGTTCCCTTATAAAAGAAAAAGAAAAATATTCGAAAAAAAGAAAGTAATAAACATACAACATAATTGACATAAGTGAATAGACTGAGTATTGTCGATATAAATGATTCTTTTGTTAATCGATCGGGATCTTTACTAATTGTAGATGTAATCAAACCATAAACATTATTCATTCCATACGGAGTTATGGAAATGACAATAAGAATTACTTGAATCAAAGTCATTCGCACTAATTGATGATCAGCTTGGTGTTCAGCACGTACCACTCTTGCTAAATGAATATTACGATAAGTTAAATATCCAAATATAATCATCACTACGATTGGAATGACACAAGTAAGACTAAGAACATATATTGAAGCATAAATAGAATATGAAGCATTGATAATTCGGCATGTCTTCGTTATTGATGAAATATCATAGAATAAAATTTGAGGTATTCCATGTAAACACCACACAATAATGACAATAAACATCATCCTATGTGCCCATTTGATATTACTTAAACGACGAACATTAGCATTTCTTGATGTAACTAGAAATTGATCAATTGAAGCTAAACATGAATAAGTAAAAGAAATTAATGTAAGGACATTTATGAGATATGCTCGTAGTTTACACCAGAATGTAGACGTAAGAGTTAAATCAATTTGATAACCTGCGATGAATATACGGGAAATAACACTAACTATCAGAACAACGATATTGTCTATTGAAGTTATAAGAAAATAAAATGTACAAGGAGTTTGACGATAATTACGAACACTTGTGAATATCAAAATATTCAATCCATTTCCACCTATTCCAGCAATCACAAAAAACCACCCCACGTAAATTGTAACTTGTTGACTAATATATGCCAATGACATATCTCAGGTGAATAAATAATAAAATGTGTTAAAAATAAAATTAATTTGAAAATACTGTTTACATTTTCATATTTAATATATGAAAAGAACTCTACTCCGAGCAGTTCGTAGAGAATAAAATAGACGCCATGCACTTTTTATATTATTAATACCAACAGTCATTTAGCTAGAGAAATTTTTTTGATGAAAACAAATTTAATATTAAAAGAAAAGAAAATGTATCGTTTCTCTATTGAGATCGTATATTAAATCCTACAGCCTTTGAATCTTTGTTTTATTAGTAAAAATACATTGTACTTAAAAAGGAGATTTAAGATGTGAGTAAGAAAGATTTATTGCGTATCTTGATCGATAAACAGATGAAACAGAATGTGAAGATTGATTATATAACATTTCTTATATTCGTTGTGACTGATTTTTGTTATGTGACAATGAAGCTGATGAGAGTGAATTGTTTATCTTCAAATATTTTCAAATGATGCATCTAAAAAGTCATATTTATCAATTGTTCAAGTTCGTGATGATTGTCTCTGTACAATGTATTTCAAATACGAAAAAAATTGTAGTTTATTGGCTTTCTAAAAACTATTTTTATTAAACTATTAGTATTACGTAAAATCTATTAGGAAGTAAAATCAAGTCTTGAGATATCAATTCAAATATTCCAAGAAATACTTTAGTTGTAGGCTACGATGATAATATTTGCAGCAGTTGTATCAGAACCATAGTTCTTGTTTTGTCCCCATCCAATTTCAAATTGAACAGTATCACCCACGTTCAAATAAATTTGACGAAAGATCAACATGCCTGAATTTTGATTAATCCACAACGATCGAAGTTCAACATCATTAATGGATAAATGTACATCTGTAGTTGCATATCCATTTGGAGTACCTGGAGGTCCCGGTGAAAAGAATACACCTTCCACATCATAGAAGCCAGCTGATGGAACTGTAAAACGAATACATGCATGAGCGTTGTTAACGCCAGGATGAAATACTAATTGATTAGGTTTCAAGGAGAATTCATTTAGGTGTTGCACATTTGTTTGACTGTTTGAATTTATACCAACAAAGCCATTACTGACGTAATTTAGACCACTTACTGTAGTACTGGTAGTCCATAGAGAAAAACCCGACATCTTTGCTTCTTGCAGATTGCTGAAGATTGAGTTTCCATAAACGTTACTCACATATGATGAATATGGCTGAAAGCTTAGATGATCAGTGGGTTGAGTGTAACCAAAAGACCAGTATGTATTGGAATTCTGAATATTAAAAGAATCATTTGGTCGGTAAGATACCAATTTAGCAGCGTTGACAATGATGACGAGGTTGCAGAGAAGAAGTATGGATTGATACATCTTATACTGGGGTGATTGTTGTTTATTGAATACCAAAAACATACTACTTACATAAAAAGTATACCCTTATATATTCCACTGTTAACGAGAGAAAGGGAAATATGAAAATGAAAAGATCAGACAAAGTGCCAGGGATAAGTTCGGATAAAGTGCAAGGTATGTGGAAATGAAAAGATCAGACAAGGTGCCAGGGATAAGGTCGGGTAAAGTGCAAGGGATGTGAGAATGAAAAGATCAGATAAAGTGCACGGGAGAATATGAGCGGAAAGAGTGATAAGGTCGTTACACTTATGTCCGGACATGTTTTCTCTCCTCTTTTTCTTCTTATCGTTCTCCCATTTATGTATGTAGCTTAAAAATGCCACCGTTTATATCACTATCTTCTTAACACAATTATTTTTATTTTCTCTTCGTGCTTGAGGATGTCGGTGTTGGTCTAGATCGATAAGAGGCATCTACATCCCCAAAGCAAAATTGTTTTTTT